TTGCACAAAAATGGATAGAAAATTTTGAAAAGATTTTCTTGTGAAAATCTTAGCCTCGTGAAGTTCATATTAAAAATCCTAGTACAATTATATTTTTAAAGCTCTAGAATTGAATTTTTTAAAAAATTAAAATTAAATCTTTGTAACAAGAACTTATCCCATAAGGTAGAACCAGAAAACACACCCCATAAATCCACACTCGTCAAGGGTCACTTACAACCAGCCCTCATTTGAGAAAGATGCATAATAGCTAGTTTTGGCAACAATAACTTATTTCAAGTAAAATTAATACTTGAAAATTTTCTCCTGAACAATTTGTTTTCCCTTTTTTTATAAAAAAACAAATTTAAACCCTTCTTAAACTTAGAAATCAGCTGGTCCAAAAAAAAAAAAAAACTTAGCAATACCCGTTGTCCCTTACAGGGATGGTCCGGATGAAAACGAGTGGAGCCCACTTATATTCACCAAGCCCGTACTCACTTCCAACAACCATGGTGTTTTTTATCCAAAAAAAAAACACCACGGTGTTGTACGAGGCCCAACAAGCCATTAAAGCCCGCACAGGAAAAATTGCCCATTGTTCGGTAAAATCTACCTTTGTTCGGTAAAATCTTGGTTTTCTTTTTTTAAAACCCAGACCAGTAAGAGCTGGTAATATGGGTTAGCTCGTGACCCCTTGGGTTAGCCCATAGTGGGTTATAAGTTAGTATAGCCTAATCTTGCATATGTTATATTTCTATCAATCTACCGACTTATAGCAAATTTAAATTATACAGTGCAACCCTAATTGGCCACAATTTTGCTTTAACTCAACCCATATTATCAATTCTATACTTCTTCTGGTTCTATTTATTAGGAAGAGAGAAAAAAAAATTTTAATTCTATCTATAAATCATTTTATTAAATTTTCATTATAAATTTTCTCATTTGACATCTATTGAATGTTGGAGAGAGAAAATGCATTATTAAAATATATTCTTCTTATTCAAAAATATAAGGCATTTTTAATCAAATATCACTCCAATAAAGTAGTTAACTACTTTTAAACTAACCCTATCTTTTCATATAAAGTTAGTAATTAATAGGGGTACTTTTAAAAAATAATAATGATAACGTCTCAAAAGATTAAAAATATCTTACATTTTTTTAACATCAAACTCATTAAAAAAATGCCTTATATTTTTGAACAGAGGGAGAATATATTTAATAAAAATAAAATTAAAAAACAATTAAATTTCTAGATATAGTTAATAAATTTTAAAATTTTTTTTATTTATGATAAAACATGTTAAAATACCTTATAAATAGGTACAAAAGAGTAAATCACACGGCAAAGTCCCATGAAAATGGCCCACATCTGTCGCATAATGGCATTTCAAATTTTCAATAATGTACCATTAAGAAATGAGAAGTTCTATTATTGTTTAACCCATCGTTTGTTGATTAAATACATAGATTTCAGAACAACAATTAATCATTTAGAACACTTGTTTTATTTAATAATAATAAAAAGTGTAACAGAATCATGTGGTTAAGTGAAAGAAACAGAGAACCTTAACAACTCTAAACATGCAATATTCCAGAAAACATACCACTAGCTCTTGTCTTATCTTCATAAATAATGGCAGTGCCATGTATAATAATAAATTTATTTAAATTAAAGGAAAATGATTCGAGTAAATAGATTATTAGACTTTTCTAATCTAGCTTAACAAATCAATTATTACCTGGCAATAACAGTTTTTTTCCCCCCTCTGCAGCCATCACTAAGGCCCAAGCACTAATTCTTCTACCGGGCGGAAGAAGACAATGCATCTTGCATTTTCTGGGTTTTTTTTAAAAAAAAAATGAGACTGAATTATTTCCATTGATTTCTTTTCCGAAATTATAGGGTCAATATCTATATTTTTTATAGTTGAACTTGAACGCTAATCTTTGTATTTTTATATCAAGTTATCTAATTAGAACATAATAAATAAATATTTTAAAAACTAATAATCTATATGCAAAAAAATATATACTAATATACTATCATATTATTATCACTAAAAACTTGTATATTTATTATATTTTGGTTAAAAAAGTGATAACTAAATACAAAAGAATTCCATATGAAACTTTTCCCCAAGTTTTCATTATCTTCTGATTTGATGTCCATTACTAGGAATCGTTTTTTTTGTGGGGAGGGAATTCATTCCAGTTTCGTGCCGCACTTGTCACACTCATCCACCAATAGTGTATTGTATTATTATTTTTTTTAATAAGAATATTGTGTTGTATTATCTCAACAAGTTTTTTTCCATAAAAAGGATGAAGTTCCGGTCATGTGCCTCATCACTTTAATGATGATGAGTGTGAACATGGAGATCAGCAATGGACAAAATAGTTTAATATTAATTATTTTCATATTTTAAGTAAATTTTATTTTAACAGATACAGAATAAAAATAAAAATAATTTTTAAATATTTATTTTATTAAAATGAATTTATTATTAAAAAATTTAAATTTAAACTATCTAAATTGAATTTAAACAGTTCAGATCTTATTAGAGTGATAACTATGAGCAAAATCAAGGAGCTTCCCGCCGGATCATCTTTCTCTGGGTCACCATCGAAGGTCCATTCGACCTTATCTCTAGATTAATAAATAAAGAAATTGATAGATCGATCATAATAATACTCAAAGACACCTTCACGTCACAACCAAGGTTAGTTAGAGTTATTAATGAGCAAGATAGAGATCAAGAGCTGGAACTACAAGCAGCTTCGTCTTCTTCTTTTTTTTTAAAAAAAAAAACCATCAGCTTCGTCTACAAGCTAAAAGTAATAGTAGGTTGAGGGTTTTTCAAATGCTTTTCTCCTGCTCTCCCCCAACACCCTTCCTTCCCCGTCCATAATCACTGAAAGAACTACAAAGGCGTTCCATTCAGTGTTCAGAGTCTAAAAACCTTTATGCAAGTCCATACTGAAAACCCGGCAGACCCAATTCTTTTAAAAAGACATGATCAAATTAAAACATGGAGGAATCCAACTATAAAAGATCGCATATGGTGGGGGGCAGCAAGAATATAACAAACCTAAACTCCCTTCTCATATGTGATAAACATTAATGGGTTAAATAGAAAGAAAAAAATTAATCTTATAATTTTAATTCAGTTATAACTCAATTCTTATAATTTTAACTTGATTGTAACTTAATTTCTGAATTTTACCTTTTATAATTTAATTTCTAAAGTTTCAACTACTTAAATATTAATCCCTATATTTTCAAAAATAAAATTATAAAAATAAAAAATATTTTACGCTTTTAATATTTTATAAAATTTATAAAAATTAAAAAGGTTTAGTAATTTAAAATATTAGTAATAAATTTTAACATATTTTCAATCTTTATAATTTTATTTTTAAAATATATGAATTAATATTTAAGTGATTGAAACTATATGGACTAAATTAAAAGAAGCAAAATTCAAGGACTAAATTAGAATAAAGTGAAAACTTTAGAGACTAATTACAACAAGTCAAGGTTTAGATATTGAATTACAACTGAATCAAAAATAAAAAAAATTAAATGATTAATTTTTTCAAAAAAAATTCAGAGGTATCCAATATCCCTAAATAAACAAAAGTGTAAAAATATCAATTAACTTGTTATAATAAGTACATCAATACCTATTCTATTAAATTTGACTAACATCCATTAATATTGACTATTAAAAAAGAAGTAAACAAAAGGTACAAAAATACCTTTAAACTTTTTTTAAAAGTTTTTAATATTCTTAAATTAACAATAGTACATAAATATCTATTAACTTTATAAAAAAAAATTATACAATCAAACTTGACGTCAACAACTGAGACTTTTAGCCTTATTCGAATTAACTCAAATATTTAAATTATTAAATATTATTTTATTTTACTTCTTAATCAATTTCAATTTTTATCTTAAAAAATTAAAATTTTTAATTTTTATTTAATTTTAATTTTACTTTATTAAAAATAAAAAATTTAAGTATTAAGGCTAAATTTAAACTTGACTCAAATTTTTTTAAACCTAATTCATCAAGTTTAATTTAAATTATTAAATTTAATTTTTTTCAATCTGTTAAAATAAAATAATATTGATTATGAAGTCCTAAAAAGAATACTAAATAGGTTAGAAATTGTTGGCCTATGTTATAAAATTAATGACTACCTATGCATTATTAATGTTGACTTTAGAATACCATAAGAGGAAGTTTATAAATATTTTTATATCTTATATTCACTTCCTTTTTTTTTTAGTCAATTTTAACAGAATAAAAATTGTTTTATTTATTATACCAAGTTCATGAGGAGCTCCTAAAAAAATTTAATGAATATTTTCACCTTTTAATCTAACGTTAATTGACTTTCTGATTTTTTCAGACCTTCTTGATATTATAGTCTTTTAAAAATATAGTTAGGTCCGGGTTTTCGGGCGCGTGAAGATCTCATATCTTTCTAAAACTTGACAGCTAACAGAATCTTGCCCTTCAGAATTGCGGGGAAGGACGGGTCCTTTTGCTTCCAACCAAAATCGTATTCACGTATTGTCCCTCTCCGGCCGTTTGGAGATGCCACACCACAACCCTATCTTCAAATCAAAGTTCTATATTCCAAGTCTTGGGATGCTTTTCTATCTTGTTCTTTGTTTTTTGTTTTTCCTTTTTAAAATTCCCCTTTTTTGTGTCGGAATCTCTATATTATTGTATTCAAGTTATTGTGGCAAACTTCCTTGCGCCAACTGTGCCGAGATAGTTTTGTAGGATCAGTTCACACCTTTCACTTTTGCATGTTCTATGACATTCCATTTTAAGAAAGCTTCAATTTAGTGTTTGGTTCCCAATTCCATGAGATTCGAAACAGCATCCCCATTTGATGTTTGTTCTTGAATCTGCTTCCAACACCAAACCTGAACTCAAACGCCAATAACTTAGCTGTATAAATTCATTGAATAGAAGAACAAAACAGTATGCAAATAAGGGTAAAGGATATCTGTAATAGTAACACAGATACTTCCTTAAAGATTGCCTCCTGGTCTTCAGAGGAAAATAAGGGTAAAGGACAGTTCTTTATATGACCAATGACAAGCTATTGTCTTTAAAATGGTCAATAATCGGAAGAAATAATTCACTTTTAATTTAAAAAAACAAACGAATGGACCATAGAACATGATGCAGCCAGTCTCTGCAACAGTATAAGAGAGATCCATAGATAGAGAAGACAGATCCCAACAAAATTGTAGTCCTGTCGAAACTTACAGTCGCACAGCTTGTCAAATGCAATCAGTGACCAGCAGGGATTATTCGTTGCAGCTTCCTTATTGAGCCGCCTCATTCTAATCATTCAACCTGCACACAAACAATCAAACAATTAATCAAACTGGGACACTGGTCCCAAAAAAAAAAATTGGGGAAGAAATTGCAATTAAACTGACGACGGATGAAAAGCAAAAGGATTACGAAATCAAAAATAGCAGGACACAGTGACAACCGTAGCGAGGAAGGAGGCAAGATAACAGGAACAAGACTTTGAAGGGTGATCGGAGGAAAAGAATAGTTTCTATATGGAATTTCCAGAAGGAAAGGCAACCATAGGCGCTAGCAAAACAGAACGAAACGAACTCACCATCGCAAGTTTGACACCCAAAAAATGTAATAGGACTGAAATTAATGTAATGGCCAAGGAACACAAGCTAGGAGGACAAGCCGTCTTAAAGATTTACAGTCCCTTTTACATCATAGATCCCAACTTTATCTTACGATGTTTTAATTATAATTATAATATTTTAAGCTCGTCTTGCTTCTGTTAGATTCCAAACAGTTCCCATCATATCCATGATTCAGATCACTCTGGCTCTATTGCCAGTGGTTCCCGCTGTGCACAACGCTAATGTGGCGTGGGTTACCCTGCATCGGGTAAGCATATTGAGGAAGAGGAATATTCCTCCCAGCAGATTTTCTCATGTCATACGCCATCGGCGCCAACATCTGATGTACACATCGCTCGACGACCGGCGTCACCAACACCGAATACCTAGGACTACAGCCACAAGTAGAACATCCACAACTACCAGCAGTAGAATTGTGAGGCGACGACGACGGCGACGATGTTGATGAAGATGATGATGATTTTAACATAGACGAGGAGGACGGAATAGAAGTTTTTTTCTGGAACGATTTCGGCGGCGAAAGGAACGCTCTAATCTTTAAAGACGAAGGCGGCGCAACAAGATCGTATTCCTCGATAAGATTCGCCAGATCCTCGTCGGAGCTGATGGATACCAAAGCATCGAGATCTTCGGTGGGAAATTGACAGCGAAGTATCACAGTTGCCGAGCCACAGAGCTCTCCCAACTTCACCAACAGCTCTGTATTACACAATGAATCAACAACAGCAACAAGAAGAATAAAAGCTTTCTCTCAATATCGCTCCAAACAGGTCAATCCCATTCACGGAGTTCTCGCTTCTATCAGAAACGTACTTGACCCTCCCTCAAAAAAAAAAAAAAGGCGTAACTAAAAGAAAGAGCAACAGACTAGAAGAAAACTAACCGGAAAAGGGAATAGAGCGGTCGACGGAGAGGACACGCGTATGGCCACCGATATAACGGAGCTTGCCGTCGGGATAGCGGGGAAGGATTTTGCCGCCGTAGCTACAGAGGAACTTGAGGGTGGACTTAGGAGGTTGGGAGGGTCCAACCATATTGGGGTCTAGGTTTGGATTGAGAAGCGGAAGACGCCGAGGACGAAAGAGAAGAGAAGAGGCTAAGAAGAACGAGCGCTGCGCCTTCAAGCCTAGGATCGGAAACATCTGTCCCTTATTTATAGAGTAAAAAATGAGAAAAGCCTAGGAATTTTTTTTTTTTTTGCCTCTTTTTAGTTTATTATCTCCCTTTAAAAAAATGAGAACAGCCTCTTACCTCCCTGGGTTTGGTATGAATTCTTTGCTGTCCGATGGGGTTACACAGGGAGTTAGATAAGATTATATTTTGATTTAATTCGAAATTTGGCTTCTTTTATATGTAAAATATTTTTTAAAGAGTTAAATATTTAAAAATATAAAGTATTTTTAATCTTTTAAAATGTAATTATTATTTTTTTCAAAATACCTCTATTGATGATGACTTTATATTTATTATAGGATAGTTAATAAAGGTAAATATAAAAAAATAGAGTTAATTTAAAAGTAAATAAAAACTTTATTGAATAGTACAATTTAGTTAAAAATGCTTTATACTTTTTAACGAAAGGAGTAAAAAAAATTAGATTAAACAACTTATAATTCAATCTAGTTTAATTACAATTCAAAAATTAACAAAATTAGACTTGATTCATAAGACTAAAAAATTGTTCTCAATAATTTTGTATTTACTTAGCTTTTTTTTTATATGAAAAATAATAATTCACTTCATCTTCATAAACTAAATCAAAATAATAAAAATATTTATAATTATAAAAAATTTATAACAATCTCTAACAACAACAAATATTTCAATTACAAGTCACATTATTCAAATTCATAACTTCAACAACAATAATAACAACATTCAATAAACTTTAACAACATGTATAATATACATTACAATAATAATTTAGTAGCAAATTAAATTAAAATTATATTCAATAGAAGGATAAAATGTGAATTAAGGAAATGCCACTTTTAAATTTCAAATTACTCAAATATAGTAAAAATAATTAAAATTTTATTAAAGTAATTTCATAAGTTTGTGATTTGGGAGCTTAATCTCTCGCCTGATCTACCTAAAAAAATTAGTCTGATATTTTTTGCCTTTTAATTTTTTAAGATCAATTTTTTTATTAAACTAGACAAGTCCAGTCTAACCGGACTTTCGTGCAGCTCTAATTCCAGAGTGGTAAAGCCAAAGTTTTTTCAGAATAATTTTCTAGAATATATCCTTTCCAATTGCTTCTCACTAGTTCAGTTCGGTTTTGGAGGCCTCTTGTAACTATTTGAGATTGCGTGTGCGTGTGTAAATGCGTTACGGTTTTCAACTTTGGCATCATTTTTTAAACTATATATTGCTATGTTTTAAGCACGCACTATAATTGTCTTCTTTTTGGCAGAAAAGAGATTAGAGAGAATGATACACGAGGAGGAGTAAAATAGGGCATTGATATTACACAAAATGAGCTAACTGATTACACTTACTCTTTAAGTCCTTTTCTGGCATTAATTTTCTTATTAAATTACTATATATATTGCCTATGATTTGGAATTACACTGTAGCTCAATGACAAAATCTATATAGATTAACATTTAACAATTTTTTTATGACTAACTATAACTACAAGTTCATCACTCCCAATTATTTTTTATAAATAATAAATTGGTTTTGAATATTGAAATCTTATTTAAACATTTCATAACAATTATGTTATTTATGCATTAAAAGATGCAAATATTATTTATGAGTTATAAATAATGCCAAGTAAATAAATTTTATGTTTTATATCGATCTTAGCATGGACTACTTGCAAGTTAGACAAGTTGTTTCTTGCATTTGAGCTACTTTTCATGTCTTGTGATTAGTTATTTTATACTATTATAACATTAATGTAATTATATTGCTCTAATAAATCATAATAAATTATAATTTACGCGTGTTATGGAAAGTATGATTAATTAATTTCAAATTTTGCAACACACAAAACCAACTAAGATGGATCACAATCATGTCTAAATTGGGAATTGTCTGGACAACAATATTAGCAGACTAACTTCTTTTAATTTATAACTTAACTGAAAACACATTCATTTGTAAATCTCAATTATATTAATTGAGTTTTAAATTGTTAAAATATAATTTATAAATTTTGAATAAATATTTATAAATAATAATCAAAATTATTAAATATTAATCTATAAATATTGTAATAGGATAATATTAAAAAAATAATTTTTTAAATTAATTACTTATGTTGTTGGTAACAATGGTGATTCAATAATTACCTAGGAGCTAGTCAAAGTAGTATTTTTCCATTTGCATGAGCAAGAAATAATATTTGTCTTATAATATTTATTTACAATTTAAAAGACATAATCAGTGTTGTTTTTTATAATTATTGAGATATTTTTTTTATATTTTTTGATCAACTAATAGTTAAAATTAATATTTGTTAATGATAAAAAAATATTGCACTGCAGAAAAAACAAATTAAGATGCCATACTTTCTTGTTTAATATTTCCTCTATTTCAACTTATAAGATAACTTGAGAGAAAATTGTGCGTAATAATAAAACACAATAATAACACTTTATAAACTTATTTTTTTAAAAATAAAAATATAAAATTTTAAAAATATTCTTATACATTTAATAATATGTTACAATATTATTTCAATTCTCTTTTTATTTAAAAGATATTACAAAAATATTATTAATAAAATATTATTTTTATTAAATTGTTTTATATTTTGAGACAAAAATTTTTTCAAAATAATTTTATAATTTGTAATAAAAGAAGTGATTGAGATGAGAGATAAAAATACTCTTCAATCCAAAATATATATTAAAGGATGCCAGAGCATGATGATTAGCACTTTACATATGAATGGATTAATTGGGCATCAAGATTTTCTACAAAAACGGCAAGTAACACATGCTCAAAATTCAATGGTAATATTACGAAACTTTTCTACCTTTAGGGGGGTGGGGGAAGCGAATTTGTCATGCATTTCAAGAATTGTTCGCATTCATGTTGGAGGTTTTATATAAATTAACAATATTGTTTGCACTTTTTTTTTAAATATTTACAAGTCTCTTTTAGAAGCTTTCCATATTTATAGATATAAATCATTTTGTAAAATTTACAAAATAATAAGAATTAAAGTGTATTTTTATTCTTACATTTTTCTCTGAAGAATACTAGGCACTTTGTATTAATAAGGGGAGCATTTTTCTCCTAAATCATTTTCACAAATAAGCAAAAATTTCCTTCAATTAAAGGGTCACTAATAGAAGGGTTTTTTGCACCTTTAAAAAATAATTTAGGAAAAAAAATCTCATTTATTAATATAAGGTGCTCGGTACTTTTCGAAAGAAAGTATAGAAAAAAAAAATACACCCTAATTTAAATAATAATATATTTTGGTTTTCACTAGTGTCCTTGGAATATATATATATATTGTTGAGAAGTTGTGGTGGATAGAGTGATTGAGCAAGATAAGTAAGATGGGGTTAGAATCATTGCATTTAATCATGATATTTTTGGAAAGGTGGAGTAATTTTAAGAACATTAACTAATTTTAATTAATTAATTTTCGTTATTTATACAAATTAGTTAATGATAATTTATAATTAAGAAATGTAGGGAGTAATTTTTAACAAAAATCCTCCTATCAAATTATAAGGTTGATGTCAATTTGATGTTTTACACGTACTTGAGTAGATATTAATAAGCTCTATGTGATTACCTATCTAGAAATGTACTGTCATTTTCATATTCACACTTATGTATTCTAATTCTAATTCGCTTTAGTAAAGAATTTTAAGAATTCACCATCACTGATGCTCATTTGAGGACACAATTTCTCTAGCATGCCTCGCAAATTCAAAGGAGGACCACCCAAGCGTTGACACCTTACACAATTTAAAAATTTAATCTCACCTTGTTTTGCAAGATACGCAAATACAAGCAACGGAGAGAAAAAAAACAAAAGAAAAAGAATAAAGCATCTGCTTTTATACGCTGGAAGAGGACATATATTTTATATCAAACACCAATGAACTTGTAGTTTACGAAAAATGTCGTGAACCGTAATAAAAAAAATCCGTTAAAAAAACAGCAAAGTACTGTTGGGGACAAAAAAAAATTCAAGAGGCCGGGAATATTTAGGACATCAAAAATGTAAGAAAATTTATATTCAGAAGAACCCTTTATCTGTAAATAATGATATATATATATATATATATATATATAATTCTAGTTTTCATGGTGCATGTTTCTGTTACTTTTTTCCTTTTTAAAAATTCAGTTTCTTTGTGTCGCGGACGAAGTACTACTCAGCCATCTGGTCCTCTCGCATATTTTTCTTGTTGCATAAATCCGATCTTTGTGGGGTTTAAAATGTTTATGGACGAAATTTACCAATTAAATATATATATATATATATATGTATGTATGTATATATATATGTATGTATGTATGTATGTATGTATGTATGTATATTGGTGCAATATGTATCAATTAACACAACATATTGGAAAATAGTCTTGCGGAAAGTAAGTTGTTAAAAAAGTCATGCATTTTATTACGTTAAAAATAAAAATAATTGATACTGGCATTTTCTTGAAATTGAACATATTAAACCAACTTTTGAAAATGCATGACGTTTTTGAGATTTTTGCTAGTATAACTCATATCATAAGATTAAATTAAACAAACAACTCAATATTTATTATATTTTATGTCATAATTAATTTATTATACTTGACATTGATATACTGTTGTATGTCAATGATAAATTTTTTGTAAATTTTTAAATTTTTAATAATAAATCCTTTGATATCAATGATAATCCTTTATATATTAATGTGAATCAATTATATTTTTAAATTTTTTAAAATTTGATTTATATTTTTTGAATGCAAGATTTTTTTTTTAACTATTGAGCCACCTGCCTTTTGTTTGGTTCAATTTTTCGTTTAAAAATGTCATTACTTCACAATTCATTTAAAAACACGTGGCAATTAGAACTTACATTGACAAGTATAAAATTAATAACCAATCGACCAAGGATCAATATCCACAATTTCATTATCA